TTTGCCTTCATTTAACCTGCCACAGATTTAGCAGGGTGCTAAAAAGCTTCCCCTGAGATTTTGGTCCATATCGACATGTCAGCATCACACAGTTACTGGAGATTTGTTGGCTTTACATCCATGATATTAATCTTCTGTTTTATAATATGCTGCAGTGTAAGTTGGTACCAAGAGGCCCAAAGTGAAGTAAATATCCACAACACCAGAGTTTTTATCGTTTGTGTTTTCAAATGACTGTTTTTAGTATTTCTTGCTGAAAAGTGTTTGGTTTAATTCGTTTAGTTTAATTTGTAAATACTTTATGTCAAAAGTACAAATTACAATAAAAATACAGAACTTTTTGAAAGTAGTTACACTCTTGTTGGCATGAAGAGTCTCAGTAAATACATTCATCAATGCCTCATCAGACCAGCTCATAAAAGAAATTAACCAATATTACAAATACTGAAAATGGAGATATTTCTTCCATGTTTTTATTTTTTATTTTTCAGTTTTCCAAGGTCACATAATCGTTTTTAGATTTTATTTCAATTTTATTTAGTTATTTTTAGTTTTGTTTTTACATCTAGTTTTAATTTTGTATTTAGTTTTAGCTAACTATAATAACCGTGCCCCTCAGCATTACACCCCCACCACCAGCCAGAGCTGCAGATACAGGGCACGATGGATGCACATGCATGGATCCATGCTATCTGTTTTACAGTTCCATATGTGTTGTGTTTAGAGATGCTCTTCTGCACACCTTGGTTATACAAATGTCCTTTGTATAAGCACATCTCAAGGATGCTGTTGCAGTGCAGTGTTTTTAATTTCCTATCATCAAGTTGCAGTATACAAACCAAAGGTTCTGTTTGGTTTTGCTCTTTATTTGCAAAAGAAAAACACAAAGTCCAACTAGTGCCGATGCAAAAATGAGCAAATCTGTGTATATTTTTAAAAAACCTCAACTTCTCTGTTAACAGCATGTTAAGGATACATTTTTCTCACATACACACACAGTTGAATAGTATCATAGATGGTTCACATAAATTATTTTACTTATACTGGCTCTAACATTAAGTATACAACATATTTCTGTATTAGTAAACTGTGTACATGACTAAAGATGATATCCGATCTCGGACAGCTAGATAAAGATGTCCACTGTCCTCTCTTCTTCTTTTTCTCGTTCTGTAAAGAGGCGGTGTGTATTATGATTAATGTACATAGCGTCTGAGAGTGTATGACATTGGGAGAGCGTGGTATCTTTTTACCTAATGCAGCATTGATGGATCCAGCCTCTTCATCTCCCTCTGGACCCAATCATCGTCTGGATTGGCACACACAGGTTTGGACTTCTTTTTCATCTGAAACCTACATATGTGAGTATCATTATTTAAAGTTCTCAAGCTTATTTTAGAAGTTCACACGCTTCATTAAATGTCGATCATGCACTTCCTGAATTGGGTTTTTCTTTTTCCGTCAGTCTGTGCTTATTAATTATGATGGGATTTAACAGTGCAGGAAAACAAAATCAGTGAGAAGTGAAGGATCTTACACTGTATACTCACAAAACAGCTGAGATGTTGCAGACAGTGTTCGGCTCCTGCATAGTGTAACCGACGATGTTTCTCTTCTTTTTTATGTCGTTAACATAGTTGATGCAGCACTTGCCATACGAGCCTGGAGAGAAAGTTAGAGAGTAGCGGAGAAATAAACCACCGCGTTTGGAAATGTTGTGGACGTCTGCCAGTCAGTGCTGTCCAGTATTATTCCCACATCCCCTCACTAAAAAAACGACAGGTTTTCAGGAACAAAGACAAAGGAATGAGGCTTCAGGAACTGTGGTTAACCCAAGATGTGGCATAAAAAAAAAACCCACCGGGTCCACCAAAAGATGGGTGCATATTTTTAGTCAGATTTTTAGAAGATACTGTGAAGAGCTGCATGGTTACATTTCTGTGAATTCTGTTAAAAATAGATATTTAAGTTGAAATGTCACAGTTGAGTTCTGCATCCAGTCCATTCTGTTTGACTTACCTTGTGCCAGACTCAGGTACGTGCAGATGAAGAGAAGAATGAAAACAAAAGCATGAAACTTCATCGCTGCTGCTGCTGCTGTTGTTCTTGTTGTTTTGCTCATTTCACAGAAACACTAAGAGATTAAATAAAAGAGCAAAGTCAAACAGAAAGGTGGAGGCAGAATAAATCACACCCACTGCTTTGCAGATGTTGGGCAAATATACAGTTTTTTCCAAAGCAAATGCCTCCCTCTGTGCTCTTTCATAAGAGCACAGAGGGAGGCATTTGTTCTCATTTCTTTAGTTCAATCTAAAAAACATCCCAAAGGTGCCCTCAACAACTTTGATGCAAGCTACAACAACTACAGCAGATACAAAGTAACTGAAGGTTACATCATTAAGAAATCAGAGAAAACATTCGTCAATGATTTGGCACAGGAACCAGGATGTGTATATTAATGATACCAATAGTGTGATACTTTGTTTCCATCCGCTGAGTTCAGTATGTAGCCCACTATATTGTGCTAAATAAATTATTTTTGGGGAAATAAAAAAAAAAGCTAAATATTGTATTATACTAAATGAAAAATGATCATCTGTGAATAAAAATATACACAAAATTTGTGTTGACTATCATGTCTGGTTCTGAAGAATCAACATGCTGGTTTAAAGCTTATAAAAATCCCACAAACTCTCTTTGCTTTAGCTGCTTTGTTTCCATTTTTATTTGTAAATCTTTCAGTACATCACTGCATCTATTTTCCATTTTACAAGCAGAATGTAAAGAAATGAGGGTGGTTCAACACTGTCGCACAGACCATGTGGGAAATGTGAACATGTTTAATTGCTGTGAAATTGTTGGCTCATGTGAACCATCTAGTGTTCTCTTAATTACTTTAAAAAATCCCGAACAATACACATTTTTTTTACTGACACTAATAATAAAAATATTTAATGTTTAATATTTTTGTTTCAAATTTCATTATCAGTTATACCAGTGTTCCCAGTTCACAGGAAAATCTGACAACATTGTTAAACAGGGTCAGAAAAATAAAAATAAACATTTTACGTCAGTCCTTAAATTTAAATAATTATATAAACATTGTATTTGGGGGGTTGAGACAGTTATTTACATATTAGTTATTATAAGCTTATAATTGCTGTATACACTACAAAGCCATCACCTTATGTCATCTAACAGATAAGAGTTTTTGAGCTAGAACAGATTCCTATTTTGTAACAAATATGTGACAGAAAACAAAGAAATAAACTTCAAAAGAAGAATAAAAACAAAGAAATGCTATCGTTGTTATATGTCGCTTGTTTCTAGCCTGGAAACAGAGAAAACGTACTTTTAACAGTATTTTTAGGTCGTGATTGTAACTCATGTTTTTCTTTCTGCATTGCTGCAGTCGGTCGGTCTCATTGGTCCAGTTCTCATAGCAGACAAAGCCGGTCATTGACCCAGAGCCACAGATCAAGAGCGCAGCTGCAGCACAGTCCCAGCCAGACGTGGGATGTGTTGGTGTTCTTGGCTGTCTCCTTCACCACTTCCTGCTGTTCCAGCTTTGTGATGGAGACCAGGTCAAACATGCACTCTGCATTATTTTAAGGCCTCATGCTATTATTTTTCTTTCTTTAATCAAAGGTTTTTGTTTCTCTTTGTATGTTGTTTTTTTTTAATCAAAAATTGTTACTTGCTCGGGATAAGTATTACTATAAATCTTGTATCTTTGTCAGATTATGGAAAGTTTATATAAGCATACAAATGCTGTGGTATATTTTACTCTACAGTACGTATCACTTTTAAACTTATTTAGGAATAAAGCAAAAACAAACAAAACAAAACAGCTTCTAACACATTAGCTTCGAGGACAAAATGTTGCCTTGGTCCCTGATGTATCCCACCCACTAACAGGCTCTATGATGAAGAGATAATCAGTGAAATTCACCTTACATTTTATGCCTGATCAACTTAAATGATTGTTATGTGTCATCTGTTTCTAGTATTGGCACATTTTTAACCCATGGCTGCTGCACTGCTTTTAAAACCAGTCACAGAGAACAGATGAAGTTAAACTTCTCTTCATCATCTTTCTTGAACCACTTATGTTCTCCTCCTGTCTCCATGGCTACAGCCAGGTTGCAGTGTCCAGTGTCTGTCTCATTGGCCCAGTTCTGATAGCAGGCAAGCTGGTCATCAACCCAGAACCACAGATCGAGAGCGCAGCTGTAGCGCAGTCCCAGCCAGACATACGCAGTGGTGGCGTTCTCGGCTTTCTCCTTCACCAATTCTTGCTGTTCACTGCTTGTGATGGAGACCAGGTTATCATGGTGCTTTCTGCAGTAAATTAAGGCGTCGTCCCAATTTTTGCTTTCATTAATCAGGATCCATTTTTCTGTCATGAAAGAACACATGATGTTCGTTTATAAAAACAGAAGACAACTCCATAGTAGTTTGTGTTATTTAGCTTGATGATGAAACTTATACCAGCGTTCCTCGTGTGCACTTCTTTCAGTGAGAATAAGAAAGATTCAAAACATAATTTTGACATTTATTCCTTCAGTAAGAAAACTGACAGAAACCAGATGTAAAAGCTGAATCTTTGCAAATCTCACCATCATAGCAGAAGAAAGGTTTTGTGTTGTTACAATCATCAGCGCTCCATTTTCCTTCTTTGT